CTGATTGTTTGCATGGATCAGTAACATCAGACACCTACAGTAAATGGGAAGGTGTGCTATATAGCAGCCAGAAATACGGACAATACTCAACAATGGAAGAAGACCCACTCGATCAGTCCAGGCTCCTATTTATAGAAAGGCCTCATTTTCACTGGCAATCCTGTGTTTAGCTTTTATAAATGCAGGAGAAATTATCTGGAAAGTATAAACAACTATTATGCCTCCCAGATCCTTATTTCCTCCCTTTAAAAGTGTTTACAAAAGTATAAGGTGTTTAGCCACATAAAGAGTTTCTAATTGGATCCTGGATTTACAAAATATTTTTTCTCTAAACACAGCTAAACTAAATGCATCATCATTAAATGCATTTAGAACTGTCCTCAGTGCATATACCGTAAATGCAATTATCCCATGCACCGTATCGGAGCTACATTGCACTACAGCTCATGAATAGATGGGAATTAAATGTTTTAGGGTTGATCTTGAAAAGGATACCTAGCAGCACATAGATCGTTTATGAAGACAGTAGGACCAGGATAACAGGGCCAGCCTAAATCTGGTCACTTATACTTGATTAATAGCACCATCTAGTGACATTAATAAGTTAATGCAACTTTCTGCATTGAAAAAAATATAGATCTATATTTATTGCATAGGTATATATATATATGAATATACTACTTAAAAATGCTACATACACGAGGACAGCTTGTTACAGGAAGAGCAGTGCAAACTGTCAGTACAAGATTTAAATTTACACTGGTATTTAGCTTTAGTTGTTTTTTCTGATACTCTTGGCTCTTAGATCTAAAGCTTAAAACACATTAAAATTTGATGATAGATCTAAAGTAGATTGTTTAAAGGAGAAGTTTATTGTAGAGATTTTACGGTTAAATTGTAACATGTACATTGCCTCTGAGGGTCAGAGCCAAACATCCCCCTCAGATCAAGTTGCTGTCTTGTCAACTGCCAGAACTCATGCAGATAGGACATGACTTTAAGCTCCTCCTTCAGTGTCTGCTTGCATTTTTTTCCGCTTTTCGTTCAGACATAAACTCAATTTATTTTTATTTTTTTAAGGGCCAATTGACACCAAGCGGCTGGTGTGCGTTGCCCAACAGTGCTGAGGCGCCATTCCAGGTGCTTCACAGTGTGTACTTTTTTTTGGGTAGAACTTTATTGAAATGTCACCAGTGACATTTCATTTAGTTCTACTTACACAGTAGGGTGCGAGGCAGTCGTTCCGTAATTCATCCCGCTGTGCTGAAAAAAGTACAGCATGTGCACACAACCACGTTCCGAATGGAAACACGGTGGTGTAAAATCGAGCCCCTCCATGACAAGGTAAATTGCCTCATCTTGCGTTGGGGTTGCGCTGGCCATTGTTTCCAGTAGAGCCCCACTTCAAGACAAGGCAATTTGCATGTGGTATTAAAATCAGCCCTAAAACTGTATGAGCCATGTTTACTTCAGCTCTGCTAAAACACCCAGCTGTCAGAAAGGGACCTTCAACCTCTGTATAGATATAGATATAGATATACAGAACTTTAGTGATAGCAGCGAACTTAAAAAGATCCGGTCGCCAACTTAAAAAAGTGTAGATTTAAAAAAGGACAAAAAAATCAAGTATTTTACATGTTTACTTGCAGAATCTCCTTTCCATATATATTCTTATTTATTTGCAATGTACATTTGAACTTACTAGAAAATTTGCACGTCATAGACATCTCCTCTTCTGGGAGTATCTAATTACTTTGCTGGCCCAGCTCCTGTGCACCTCACCTGCCTACATTACCTTTTATGTAGCTGCTGGGGAGGAGTGACCGGGTATAATATAGGGTCACTTGAGTGACAGATCCGAGTCTGCTGGGGCTGCTGACATCACAACTAAGATGGTGGCGCCCAGCAGAAATCTCAAGTCTTTTGGATACCTACACAAGGTAGGCTTTCACAGGCCAATACAATGCATAAAATATGTTAAGAAAATAGTTTTAAGGGAATATAATCTTATGGGAATATTGTTTTTGAAATGAATGACCTGGTCACAGGGTCTCTAAGTAGCCACTCATTCTTATATGGCTGTGTGCAGGGTAAAAGCTTGTATATAGGTGCATTATGTTACTATAAATGACTAACATCTCTGCTTCCATCCCGCTATGGAAAAACAGATATTTGTTAAGGTGACTAGTGATACCTTATTATATGATGTACATTTTAGGTAAGATTTGTCAAATTTAAAATGAATAAAAATAAAGACACAAATAATTGAATGATTTTTATTATTACGTTTGGATGCAGTGACATGTGCACTTTAATGAATATAGCTAACAGAACAACTTAAATTACAAAACTGATATAGAAACTGTATATTAGAAAGTTTTTATAGTAAGCTGGATTTATAACCTGTTAAACAGTTTTTAGCATTTCAGTGAGTAATTTGGCACATACGTAAAAGGTTTTGAATCTCACAGCAAGTGCAGTTGTTGGATAGGTATGAATTGACTATAGTGGAGGCAATCACCTCCACCAGGCTATGTTTGTATTCCATCAGCACTTAACAGTCTTGAAAAGTCTTTGCAGAAATTATTGATCTTTCTACTAACAATGAGTACTGACTGATAATGCTGAATGTACTTTAGGTACATCCTCAAGGTCAGACGTGCAGTTAAAGTGTCAAAGCAAAGCTATTCTTTGTTGGTTTTCATTGACGGTAGCCTCTTATTATTTATTTAGTTTGAATTGGCAAAATTGGTCACAGGTGTACCTTAAATAAACCATCTAGTATTGCAAGCTTACTAAATCAGTTCTAGGTTGTTGTAGCAGGTAAATCAAAGTACCCAAATGTATATTCCGTATGCATAATAAAGCCTTCCATGGGCCATAGGTTGCTCTAGAAAATAACACCAACTTCTTAGATCACGTTGGTGTTTGGGTCCACCCAGTTCCATGCTTACTACTAGTCAACATTACCCATCCCATTTACAAAGCAATAGTAATGGTGCATGTGGAACAAGGCCAGCATCCTAACTGAAGTCAATATTTTAAATACAGTGCTTTTGGTTTCAAGATGAAGATGTGTACAGGCAACTGGAGGTAGCAGCTATTACAACCCAGAGGCACTCACCAAGCTTGCTCCACTAGCACATGTTTGTATTCCATCAGCATTTAAACAGTGCTGATGTGTCCTCTCAGTTCAGATTTTTCTAGAGACAATGGGTACTGACTGGAATTACTGTATGTTTCTCTGATGTATTCCCCAGTTCAGAATAGCATTTGAAGTTTCAAAGTAAGGCTATACTTTGTTGGGAGTGCCTACTGAAGGTAGCCTCCTATAAAACATTTTTGTAACATATGCTCATTTTGAATTGACTAAGTTGGGGACAAGTGTACTTTACAAGAAGCCTCTAGTAATGCATGCTTAGTAAACTACCTCTGGGATGTTTAGCAGGCAAATCAAGGTGCCCAAATGCATCTTTAGTTTGCATAATAAAGCCTCCCTTAGTTTCATGGGTCCAAGGTTGTAGATGAGAACACTTAACTTGGAATAAGTTAATGTTTGGGTCTGCCCAATTCCATGCTTACACTGAGTCAAGGAGATCATCCGTCCTATTTACAAAGCAATAGTGATGGTGCATGTAGAACAAGGTCAGTATCCTAAATGCTGTCAATATTTTAATATTATAGTACTTTGTGTTTCAAGACTCCTAGGATGTCTAGAAAAAAACCTTAAGGATTGTGCAGGCAACTGGAGGTACCTGCTATAGCAACCCAGCGGCAGTTACTAAGCTTGCTGACATCACAAATACACCTTCGCATTAATTCATAAAAAGACCAACACATATGGTATTTCCATGTCTGTAATGTATTTTTCACAATTTTTGTTAAAGGTTTTATTGCACTGATCTGCATATTCTCTATTCTTAGAAATTTCTTAAAAGTCAGTTGAAAGATTATCACACATTTTATGGCGGCTATCATATTAAATTTCTGGCTGCCATTACTGGGAGTTTCAACAGCTTGTGAAGCGTTATATACAGTAGATCACTTATATCTATGCAGAATAAAGGCATTACTACTTTGTGAGCTGGAGAATCTTGCTAAGGGTAACAGTTGGTCCTCCAGATACAGATAAGCAAAGCCCTCTGATATTAACCATTGCAAGTACACTGAACACTACTTCAAGCACTACCTAAATAGGAAATCTGCATTTTCCATAGAGAAATATGTGGAGAAAAATGTGCACTTGTGCCCATGACAATCTGTAAACACAACCTACTCAGACAGCAGTGAACACATTAATGCTTAGGTGCACAGACCTAAAGGTCTAATGCAAAGATCCTTCACAATCAACTACTAACAGATGGGGAATTTTCAATTCACGTTTAGAAGAATTTTATCTGTTAATCCTGCAGGTTTCTAATCAACGTTATGACAGATTGCTTTACACAAACATACTGCAACATCTTATTATAGTGCCAGACAACGGATTATGCCAGTTTATGTGACTCGCATACGAAAGGGTTACATGGAACATATACCATTAATTATAGGACAACAGAGCTGCATGCTATAACACTACTGAAAGCAACTTAATTTTTTTTAAACTGTTAGATGTAATCCTAAAAAATTACTTTCTGCCTTCATGCTTTAAGGAAATGATAAAAAAAAAAAAATACAGAAACAGAATTCAGAATTTTTGCTCCTGGAGAGAATATAAGATGAAGAACATCCCTGAACTGTAACAAATAGTATTTGTCCTGCAGAACACGGGTAATTAAACTTATTTTGTTCAAAATAACGATCTACCCAAATCTAAACCATATACCACTGAATTGTATTTATGCAATTTAGCTGAAGGAATAAAAAAACTTTAGGTATAACAAAAAATCAGCAGCTACTAACTAGGTTAGTATGAAAAGTATAGAATACATTTATACAAGTGCCAGTTTAGGACAAATCAGAGTGCTGCCACCTAGATAATTGCCAGGTTGTCAGCTAACCTGAGTCCGAGTCACTGCTATCTGATGAACTGGAATCGCTGCTGCTATCAGATGAGGATGAAGAGCTGCTGCTACTTTCGCTTAATCGACTTGGCCCTCCAATCGTCTGAGACACAGCCGTGGCATCACCTGTGGGACCTGACACAAATCAGAATGTTAGTCTTTGGCTTCACACATACTCTAACAATACTTTAAAAAAAAAATCTTGAAGAAGCTCCAATCTTTACGGTGTGCAAAATGTTCAGAGAACAGTAAATTGGTGGACAAATCAGTGATTTCTTACAAGAAAATAATTAGCGTAGGTGACAATCAGAATTTGCCAGTCTGTCTGAAGATGCACTGGTCTGTATGGGTGAACCTCAAAAGATCAAGCAATCTGGATCATTCACAAACCTAGGGAGGAGCCTAGGGCACATTGGATATCCAGGCTTATGCTTCTGTCACTTTACATGCTTGTATGCACACATAAGCTGTTATTGTCTGATCGGGTAGGCCACCTTAGTACAGACAATGCAAATAGGGTGGCTTCTCTGTGCCTATTGCAATGTCAGCTCAAGGTAGTTTGGGACCAACATATCTACCTTGCCTATGGACCCATTCTTCCTTAATCCATCTCTGAGACCAAGTGAATATTAATGCGGTCTACCGGGTTAAAATATTTTCATGCAATCTGCCAAGGTAAGCCATTGCTATAGTTTCCATAGAAACAAATTATCCATTAAACTTCAAGCACGTCAGTGTATAACAGTAACAGACATATAGAAAAGGCTCCATCTTGAGTCACAGACCTGAGGGTTTAGCCTTCTTGGCAAAGTTTAGTTGTCCACTAACATCCTGAAGTCTCTTCTCAAGTTCCTGTTTCTTTTCCTTATTCAGCTCATCTTTTGATTTTATGGGTTTTTCTGCTATAAATAAAACACAGTTTTTAGCCTTTAAATACACAAACACTGCAGGTCATCCAATAATTATCTGAAAGCAGAGTGAGGATTGAAGCAAGATTCTGTCCTGTGCAGCAATATTCTTTTCAAAACTGGTGGCAGGGCAGGATAACGAAAGCCCCCAGGGTTGTAAATATAAAACACATGAAGATGAAGAAGTTACGCTGTACCAGTCTAGCCCTGTGTAACCTACTTGTGTAGAGACAATATGAGGCCATTCCTGAAGTCCATTGTACACACATCGTCTTTGTTACATGGGTTTACATGGACATGTTCTAGGGCAATCTGCTTCACATTTCAATGAGATGATGCAGTCTTTGTTTGATGTATTACAAAGGCTGCCTTAATATTGTATTACCAAAACCTTTCAACCGGTATAAGGCGATTGCATTAAAAATCTCTCTATAGATTTTACAACATGTTCACATTTAAAAAAGGAAAAAAAAATAGTTTACAATGTTCCTTTTACAGCTCAACAAACTGGTAACATTTTGGCAACTTCTGTTCCTACAGATGAGTTCCATCAACTGTACATACCATTTGATTTTTTGGGTTTCTTCCGCAGGATAAGCGCAACATATTTTTCCAAGCTCCTTAAAGTGGATGGTTTCAAGGTTTCAAAATCTATTTCAATTTCATGAGGATTGGATTCTTTCAGAGACGGCTCCCTAGACTGGATGATGTGAACAATGCGAGACAGTTTTTCCCCTGGCAATTTATTGATGTCCAAGCTCAATTGTCTCTTTTCATCGTAACTCATAGGCTTAGCATTATCTTCATCTTCTGAAACAGCCAACTTCCTTTTCTTGCTTTTAGAATCACTTTAAACATAGAAGAATGATCACAAATGAAACCTTCCAAAAACAAATACTCCACAGAAAATCAAGCTGTATACACTCATATTCATTAAACTGCATGCAGAGATGTAAAAAACACATGTAAGCCATTATGGATTACTTAGGAAATGTATTTTTAAATAGTACTTCAGCTTTAAAATGTATGCACACCAGCATTCAGACTTGGGGAAGAAGAGGCAGCAGTGTAAAGCTGGCTATGTACCAGTAGAATCTAGTTTGAAAAAAAAAATGTGCTTTTTGGAGAAGGTTTATTTTCATAATAGTTAATGGGGTCAAATTGATTCTCTTTTTGGACTGTAGTGACATACAATATATAATTTCGAAGGAGCAGGATGTAAATTCTTTTCTCGAGTGAATAAAATTCTAACAGTGAATGTGATTTTCATTTGAGAAACTCAATTCCAAAATCAATTAAGAAATCTACTAGTGTATGGCTAGCTTAGGTCAGTCAGGCTTTACTGCACTGTACAGTCAGGGCCGTCTTTAACGTAGGGCAAAGAGGGCACTTGCCCCGGGCCCAATCAAGGTTGTGGGGCCCAGAGCATCTGCCCCTTGAGCCCGCTGCCCGCAGAAAATTGCCGATCGGATTGGATAGAATACGTTATGGCAGCGGCCGCATACGGGAATGCCATAACGTATTGTCCTACGCGATCTGCACGATCGCATCCTAAAGTTAGCTCCTCCCCCGGCCCCCGCACAGCGTGACATGTCACACGGCACGGGCTTCACTGGAGGATGTGAGGCTGTGCGCACGGGTGCCTCACTCAGGACATCCGGAAAGAGGCAGACTGGCACGAGGAGAGGACTGAGACAGGTGAGAAAATAAAAAAAGGAGAAATATAAAAAGGAGATATACAATTTGTATATCTCCCTGAAAAGCTCACTCCATTTCTGTTTTGTCCTTCATATTTATGTGAATAACATGATGGGGATAAAAGGAATGACAGAATGGAATGCCCATAGACTTCGACAGGTGAAGAGAATGCCCATAGACTATAATGAAGCCAAACGGAATGCCCATAGGAAACAGGAAAAATCCAAAGTTATTTCAATTGTAAAATATGTTACTATACATGGGGAAGATCTGTGGTAAAGGATAAGTTGATATCTTTTTCAGATTTGCCTACAAAATATCTGATACTATGCTTCCCATTATACTCTATGGGCATTCCGTTTGGCTTCATTATAGTCTATGGGCATTCTCTTCCCCTGTCAAAGTCTATGGGCATTCCATTCTGTCATTCCTTTTAGTAGGCCCCTAACATGATTGATAGAATTACAATGCATGATAGTAGAAAGCCATGATTAGACATAATTACCATGGGTTTTTTTTCTTGGTGGGGGGCCCCGGGGGGGCCCAAGAAAATGTTTGCCCAGGGTCCGATCAATATTAAAGACGGGCCTGTGTACAGTGATGTTAAAATAATACAGCAAGCTTGCTGATTGGAGTGGACAGCACAGAGGTGACTATCAGCGAGCTGCCGCCACATTACTATTGAATCACAGTTTTGAACTAAGCTGTATTGCTTTGATTGCAGTAAAAAAACAGTCAGTTTGTGCCCATTTTTGATGGAGGAAATCTGGAGGCCAGTGTTCAGAAAACTTTCATACGGAGGAAGGTGTAGCTGGATTCTGTTCCTGGCCAGAAATACTATGTGGAATAACAAAGAGGGAATGGCATTGGAGAGAGCCGCAAAAATCACAACTATATAGATTCTAGGCCCATCTACACATTAAGTAAAAGGGGCTAGGAAAATTAAAGCTGAACCCCAGCCATGTAGAAAAGGCATACATTATTGCAGCTCATTAATTCATCAAAACATGTGTGGGTTTTTTTTGCATTTCTTTTTTTTTAATGCAAGCAGTGCACATACCTAAAATGTTATTTGGCATCAGCTTCTTGGTTTCCTCTGCACAGGAGAACTTAGAGAGGGGAGGGAAACGCAGCACAATGAGCAAATTTAAGCGTGCTACGGTGGAAGGAGCTTGCTAATCAGATGAGAGCAGAGTGAAAGATCAGGTCCGCTCCTTTGCTTGATTGGGTTGTGCTAGATGGCAGATATGTGCAAGTCTCAAGACTGGATGAACAGATTCAAATTCTCAAGCATTCATTCATGTATTTCATTTGTGCATTTAGCCATTTGCCTGCAGCTCAGCTGTAACTATTTAAAAATGTGAAAAGCCACACGTTGGACAGGAGAGACTACCATGCCTGACCTTAGTAAAGATTTATTTTTCATTTCCTTGCGTTTCCTTTTCTTTTTTGCTTTTTGGCTGCACTTCTTCAACATCATCATTCGTTTTTTCTTGCCTTTATTTTTTTTCTTACTCTTCTCTTTCTTTACTTTCTTCTTGGGAGCAGTGCCCTTAGTTAAAACCTTAAGTTGCTCTTGTACCATTTTCAGCTTATAAATGAGAAGCAAAACAGTTAGGGCATTGTTTGGTGTAATTTACCCATACATTACAATAACCTAATGAAAGTTAGAGATTGAAAGAGAATCTGTTAGCTATTTTGAAGTCCAAAATTTTTTAAAATAAGAAAGCAAACAATTATTTCAATGCACTGAATGGGAGTTCTTTTAGACAAACCTACTGCTTTGCCCCTCACAGGTCTGCTTAAAGGAGAACTATGGGGTCAGGCCTTTTCCCCATAGTTCTCCTAAGAGTCACGGGAGGACACAAACTAGCATCCTCCCGTGACCCAAAGCTCAGTATACCGCGAGCTACAGCTCGCAGTAAACTGTGACAGGAACGGATCCCGACAATGCTTTCTGGATCCACCCAGCTGCATGAGTGACAGCTGGCTCTGCTTATATAGAGGCAGAGCCAGCTGTGCTTGCCCCCTCCCCAGTCAGTGCTGGAGGATCGGACAGGGGAGGGGGGGGGGATCTCTGCAGGGAGTCGTGAGTGCAGCCGTGAGTGACAAATCGAGAAGTTAGCGAGCGACGGTATGTGTTCGCTCACGTCCCAATCTACTGAGCCGACCTGTGACAGTTTAATTGTCACAGGTTGGCTCAGATTATGAGGCTGAGTGAAAATTACTCGCCTCATAATTCTCCTTTAATGCTACACATCCTTATAACACCTCGCAGTTTGAGTAATTTGGGTAACTACCTTTAAGAAATTAATAAAAATCTGTAAACTGAAACAATCTAACAAAGAATAATTTCCAGAGTGTTTAAAACTTATTCAAACTACATATTATAGCTGGAATCTTACCTGGGCATCTTATTATTGTTGAGGTCTCTAATTTTCACATGTCCAGTGTAAAGTGAACCTGTTTTTTTCCACAACACATTTACCTGCTCTTGTAAAAGGGCCAGCTGTCGTGACCTCTCAGCTTCAGAATCAGAGGACGAAGAAGAGGAACTTGTATTGCTGCTTTCACTGGATGATGTTTTGAATGAATTTTGAGTTGTACAATCAACTGGTTCATCAGGGATTTTCGCAAACAACATCTCAAAAACATCCTGAAATGAAATCAACAAATATCCGTTAAGTTGTTAAGGTGCATTTAAGTTGAAATGGGAAAAGTCCTTACTGTTTTCCCTGGACCAAAGTTCTACCCAATGCATACATCCTCCTTCAAATCTCCAAGTACCACAAAGTGACAATCCAATTCAACCTCCAATCGATTATAACAAATCTTAAAAGCAAGACTAACCAGCGGGTGATATTCCCTGGAGATAACATGTAGGGTTAACCTTTTCAAAATGATCTTCTGCCCCAAATTCATAGAAGAAGCAGCAGATTTTTTACTTTAGGGAGCAGCCCGTTTTGGACAGAAGTCAGTTCTTTCATCAAGCATGCACTGGGACTTTAATTTATCAAATCCCAGAACTGTCCCCATTTTGGAACCTCTGCCCTCTTTCCTCCCCTGTTGTCTTGCTTTTTTGTCTGATACAAACCTCTATAAAAAAATGTTTTATAGTGTTCAAAAGTGTTATAATACACTAAGCCTTTCATCCAGGCACTAAAGTACTGCATTTGTTGTTTTGAAAAGCCGGTACTAAGGGAAAATAGTGGTAAGAAAAGCACCTGTGGGTTTAATTCGTTAAAAATAAAAGGGTTGCCTAACAAGGGCACATCATTTCCCTAGATTCTTTGTGCTGAAAGGTGACCCTCTTTCTCATCTCAGAACGTTGGGAGGTATGCTGTCTAGTTTCTTGTTGTTGACGGTGTTCCCTCACGGATCCTCAAAGATCCCTATGTTAAGCAACACAAAGACCAACAAACAAATGTCTGGCCAAACTACTCCTATATTTTTATGCTCTTATAAATGTGATAGGAACCAACGTCAGATGCAATGTGTTCTCATCCAGATTGTGTCAGCTGGATATAGGGTAGATTTATTATGAAATGATCTTTTAAAAGGGGATTGTAACTAGAAACTTAAAGTTGGACTCTAGTCAGACACCTCTAAGGAGTGCCTTTAAATCAGCAATGCCAAACAGTCTACCATGTTAAACAGAAGGCAGACATGAGTTCCCAGGGAAGCTACGTTTACACGACACAATAATATTGTAATATAAAAAAACATGCTTCTAAAATGGCATCATATAGTAATTATTTTATTGCAGTGATGTTACCTGTGGTGTTAAAAATGTGAATGCATTTTTAACCCATTTTTCCCTCATCTGTTCATATAGGCTTTCACTATAACAAAAATATGTTCTGATATTTAAACCCCAGTTGAAATCCCATACCTTATCTTGGTTTTTTTATTTTCGTTTTTTTTATTTTGGTACATACATTCTACATTAACAAAACAAACACACAAACTGTGCGGAGGTCCTATGCAACATAAAGGGTGGTCTAAAAGTGAAACATTCCTCTAATAACACAAGCATTTTACAAAGTAACCAGATAGCATACCTGTAATTTCCGGGCCATGTTAACCACTTCGCTGTCTGGAGGATTGCACTTATAACAGTTTCCAAACATTAGGCGAATATCAGATGCAAACTTACAGGTATCTTTGTATTGTCCATTCTCCATTTTATCCTTAATATAAAAAGCACAGTTTTAGTGAATAAAGAAAAACAATAATTCACAACATCATGGCCTTTAAGGCAGGACACATGTACAATGGAGGGGCATTTCAAGGAAATATTTTTTAAGTTAAATTTATTTAGGTACTATAGCCACATAGATCAAAATGACCCTTTTCTATGAGGTATAGGTGCCGTCACCAAAATAAATTTGAAATCCTCCATTCCACGGAAAAGTAGAATGATTTAATTATTTTGCTGCCTCCTCTTCTACTTTCTTTATAGATGCAATTACAGAAGAGCAAAATTTGAAGTGGCCACTATGCAGCTTCAGCATTGAATGCAATTCAGTAGACTATTATTTTGCATATCTACAACCGATTTACATTCCAGTCATTAAAATCTTTTATAAACTTTAACAAGTCAATGTTTTTTTCAAAGTGGTTTTCAATCTTTTTAAAATATACAGTTTTCATTAAACAAAGCAGAATTAAAAAGTGACATTAGGGTCTCATTTTTTTTACATAGATCTTCTGCTAGCAAGCAGTAGATGTACGCAAAAACATAAAAAAAAAAAAAGTTACCAGATAGGTAAAAACTTACCTCTGCCGCTCGCTCCCGGCTGCAGAATCCAGCTTCTTAAGTGGCCGTGCTGGATGATGTATGCGGGCGCATGCGTAGTGGAGGAGAGCTACTGTGTAAGTCAATGCACCCAGCCATGAGCGTGCACGCTGGACAGAATCCGCGGGACACAGGAAGAGAGACAGCACAGACCAGAGGCCGGCACCAGGGTTGGAGGGACTGCTGAAAATGACTAGAAGGAAAATGATGTTCGAATCAAGAGGTATCATTTAAAGCAAGTCCTTGAAGCAGCATGGGGTGGGGGGATTTGACTTAATGTCACTTCAAACCGTGGTGGGGCAGCTGGCACTTGCCATAATGTGCAAGTATAAAAAGACAATACTTGCAGATACCTGGAAAATTAACAGGTATTTTTTCAGAACTTGGTGTTTTTAAAGAAATAAAACCTGGTAAAATGTGCACGTATTTGAGAAATCTACTATAATTTTATTTAATCCCTTGCAAGGAGCTGGCCCATTAAAAAGTAGGAGGGCTTCCTTTCATTTGTTCACTGTGACTAGCTGTACAATTTTGAAATAAATCGGAATCCTGTTTTACCATCCCCAGATCTTTGGTAGTTAACCATAAGCCATCAGTGACCACTTGGTCACAGTTCTGGACACACCAATTGAGTGCCCCCCAGAAAAGAAAAAAAAAAAAAAAACAGCGACATATGCAGCAGCTGGGCATTGGGGCCCCCCACTAACATGCTGCCACATATATACATGTTATGCTGTCAGAGGGGTTTATTTTGCCATGACAAAAACATTTGCCCTAATATACACTTTAACCATGAGGTTACATAATGTAGAGTATGGTGGCAAGTGCAAGACTACCTCACCCACCCAGTATATTAGAGCTGTAATATTGATAAAAGTTGGGCTCTCATGATGCAATACAAGCTTTTCTGATCCTGCTTTGTTAACTTCTTTTGTCAATTAGTATGAAATAATGGGGTGGTTATAGACACGTTTACAAGATGTCGGGTCCTGGATTGCATATTGGTCTCTCTCCAATTTTATAATATGACCATCTAAATTTTACCAATATACCAATAAAACTTTCTCATTACATGTCAGATCAAAACCTTTTAACATGCACACAAGCCTTGACAAGTTTGACAGTCCTTATAATTGTGACAAGTTTCCCATCTGTAACAATATACTTCAGCACCCACAAAAATACCACTATTATTTGCATGATTAACTTACTCTGATAGTTGTCAAATCCATGGGACAGGAAACAAGGTCACCTGAACCAGGAAAGGAAAGCACTGAAGAATCAGCAGGTTTGTAGAGAGGCCAAGCATAGTTAGCATGCTTTTTCGACATTAACTCATTTAAAATGCTATTGCAGTGTTTCAGCTGTTCACTTGATTGATTAGAGTTGTTGGTTTCCACTTGTTGAGAATCAGGAAGATCTTTGCTCGAAGTGTCTGCAAATGTATTTTCCTTTCTTGGGGGTATATCTGTCTGCTTTGGTTTAAGATGGGTTGGAGACGATTCGCAGTTCTTTGCAATGACTGACACAGCAGGTGTAGTAGTGTCTGCTTTCCTTTTAATGCCCTTATTAACCTAGAAATATACCAAAAGAACAACAACATTAACCATTTGCCCAAACTTGGAGCATCTACAAGGGTTTCATACAAACACCACTGATTACTGGAACATATTAGCTTGAGGTGATTGTGTCCAAGATTATCTCACAACCTATAGAATCTTTACCAGGAAAAGACTATGCTGGGGGCTATTTTCCCCAGTGCCATTACTAAAAAGACATGTTGGGTTGGTGTTTTTTAGTGGAGATACTTCACTATTCAGACAATGATCACATTGGGACCTGCAGTCCTTGGTTCACGAACACTTCTGTTCACAAACAATTCTGTTAGAGGCACAGAAAGTTCAGCAAAATTTTGCTTCCGTTGGCCAACTCCAAATCGGGTGGATGAACATGACCGCGGTTATCTTTCACGCAGACAGACCGGTGCACACTTGCTGTGAAGCCATTTTGCATGCTTTTTAGCACATACCGTATTTGATTCGGTTCGCGACCAGAATCGTGGAACAAATTAAGTTCGTGAACCAAGGTACCACTGTACTTAGTTTTCAGTGTTAGATTAAAACTTGAGCTAAACAACCATGAAAACCTTTTACCAGCATAATCTTAATTGCCCACTGTTCTCATAAAGCAAATTAGATGTTAAAAGAAAACTACCTGACAATCTCTTTCCCCAGCATAGGGCAAGGAAAAAGCTGCAACCACATCTGTGGTGAGACAATTTTTTCCTGATATTTTATTGTCCTTTTATCTCAGGTGCCAGAAATGGCAGTGTTTCAGCTTCTTTCAGTGCCATGAAAGCTTACTAGCTTGCAGCACTAGGGAGACTGACAACAAAAGGTGCACTGTACTACTCACCAGAAGTTAAACCATCCTGTAATGTTATGGGCTCTCCAGCCATCTATTTTCTATTATGGATGGATTTCTTCCTCTATTTATACAACCCACTCCCAAAAGTACAGTACATCGATTAAGGAAATTTTGAAGTAGTCACCCTACCGACAGCAAAAACCCAACACCCCATCTTCCCCCCATTTATACAGTTCCTTTCTGGAAAAACTATTTTTCCAGAAACATTTGAAATGGTTGTTAACTTCTTGCCCCTGCAAAGGCTTCTTTTTATGTCCTTTTCTGAATATTATAATAATAAAAAATAAAAAACTACCGGTACCAAAAATACAGTGCATTGGGACTAGGGAGGACTGAAGCTCAGAGGGTTAGGCAAGTGTCAATACCCAAAGTCCCAATACCAAGAAACCAGACAGAAAATAAAGTGCTGGCTTAAAAAAAATGAAAGGAGTTTATTGAAAACCATAAACATAAAAATGGTAAAAAACAAATGGAAAGTCCAGGACATCGTCAGTGCCAAGCCAGAGGTCAGATGCCAAAGTGGGTTGTCAGCTGAACTAGGTCAGCCAAAAAAAAAAAAGAGCAGGATGAATGGAAATAATAGCCGGAGTCAGGAACCAGGAGATCAGTTAGCCAGAGCCATGCACTGAGAGCAGAGCACTTGGTAGATCACAATACATGCAAGGGCGGAGACTGAATGGACAAGCTGATGGTTAAATAATAGTGAACTGGGATTTACATCACTCAATTTGACAAAAAAATTGCCAATAGTTGCAAAATGATGTTAGTCTTCTGCATAATCCTACTTGCCAGTGAGGCTTCCCATCACACTGATGGACCAACAGAAATGTGCGGGGACAGGGCTTAGCAGTAAGCTCTGGTATTAACTGAAGTGGCAGAGCTTTGCCTCTTAGAATGGCCCAGCAATAATACGCAACAGGAAGGTTTGAGAAGTCGTTAAATGCATGTGCACAGTACCCAATACCTGGATCATTTTGCCCCGCTTATTAGATCTGTTTTTAACTAGAGCACCATAGGTTATCTAATGAGACAGCACAGTGGTAGCTACCTGCCCTTTGCCTCCTTTTTTTTTTAAAAGAAGCTTCGTACTGAGCCATCCATTGTAGAAGGAGTCAGGGCTGATGAGTCATTTAATCGTGTATGTAAATTGAAGCTTGAGATATTGAGTTATATTACCAGGTGCCGGAAGCAATAAGAGGCTTGAAGCTGCATCTGCTAGCTTGAAAGTATAATGCAAAATATTAAATATTACATTTTTAGTGGACTCCTGATAAAGAACAAGTTCAAAAATACTATGCCATTCCTTTTAACTGTAAAGGAGGACATCAGTATGCTAAAGTATATGTAAAATCTAATATGTTTGCGTATAGAACTATTACAACATCCAAACACAGACTTACTTTGGTTCCTGGGCTAGAAGAAGCAGATTTTGTATTCCTGAAAATAGATAGAGGCACAAGGGTAGTTCGCTGAGGTAGCAATGCTACAACTGGACGTGGAAATGGATTTCTGTGGAATTTTTGAGAAGTCACTTTTTTCTTAGGTGTGGGAGTGCACTCACTCTCCTCTCGAGACTCTGCATTGAAAAAGGAGAGTACAAACATTGGTACAAGTGATCATTTGTTGCTTCTTAATATCAAATAGAAGGTTATGTTGCCTGAATTTGTTTTCTTCTATAGTTCTCTGTTTGATCATTTTAATTCCAGCAACCAGACCAGAACTACAGAGAGTTCAGGTGGTTGGAACGGCCTTTGCCCTCTTCTTCAATGTCGTTACCCCTGAGGCAATAATCAGAATATTTACTTTGTTGACAAGTAATGGTGGTCCAGGGGCTAAGGAAGATTCTAAATCTTGATGACAAACCACAGCACAATTAGCAATCTGCTTTAACCACCAAGAGACACATTTCTATGGTAGCCAGTCCATCACAAGACCACTGACCCGAGGTTGGACCAGAACTTTCTTGGAGCTGCATTAACCAGCTTCCACCTTATTTGATTGTAAAGTAAAACTATTGCCAGTTTTTAGAAAAAGAAAAGTGTTGCAGCATGTAATTATACGTGCATCTGCCCTTACAGTTTTCTCCAAATCCCCCTGTCAACTCCAACAAATAACTGTTGAGTAGACATGTGCGATTCGCTTCGTTCAAATCAAAATTCGGATGTATCCGAATTCCGAATTACAGATATAACGAATGCAAACGAATCTGAATTTCCGATTCCGAATTAGTTAGCGGTAGTCTGGTCTGGACAAAATTTTGTTGCAGCAAAATTACTAGAAAACATTTTTTTTTAGTCTGCAGAAGAAAAGAAAAAAAAGTGTGAGGTTCCCCCCAATTGATACTGGACCCCTTAGGTCTGGTAGGAATGTTAGGAGGGACCCCCCACCCCAAGTTGTAACAAAAAAAAAAAAATAAGTGTGTGGGGTTCCCCCAAAATCCATATCAGGCCCTTTAGGTCTGGTAGGAATTTTAAATGGGAAACAAAAAAAGTGGGGTCCCCACTAACATTCCTACCAGACCCTTGATGCAAGCACTGGCCCGGCAGGGCAGGAAAGGGGAGTGACCCCTACCCATTCACTAAAGGGTTAAATCAAATAGTTATTAAAAAGTCCAGACTTTTGAGAAAATCCTTTAATTGAAGAAAAAAAAGACAATTTTTGACTATTCCTTTAATTAAATAAAAAAGATGGCTCCATCGATGTAATCCAGCGTCAATCACGATGTACGACGCCCGCCGACCCACCGCAATAAAAAAAAAAGTCCCGCCGCACGGCGACCGTCCGAACCCGACGAAAACTCGCCGCAAAATGGCATTGCTGCTCGAAAGTAAACAGATGGGCAGAGCGAGCCGTAACATCACGGCTCGCTCCACCCATTTGACTTTCTCATCTGTCAAATACTACATAGCATTCGGGAACTCCCGAATGCCATTCAGGTCTGTGAGACGAGGTGTCATACTGCTTTTCATATATGACACCTCGGCTCACAGACCGGAATGGCATTCGGAAACTCACAAATAGCATTTGGGTGCCCCCTTAATTAAAGGGGTACCCCAATGCAAATAAGCCCCCTTGTCCGCAGATCCCCACAAACCTTACCCGGTGGCCCTGGCCCTTGTCCCCATCGGCATGGGGACACCCTTCCAATGCCGAGGGCACATGGCCTGGTAAGGCACAGGGGGGGCAATCGCCCCCCCCCCTTTCCTGCCCTGTCGGGCCAGTGCTCGGATCTAGAGTCTGGTAGGAATGCTAGGAGGACCAAACTTTTTTTTCTCATTTTTTTCGGCCTGGTATGGATTTTGGGGGAACCCCACGCACTTTTTTTTGTTAGGAGGGGGTCCCTCCTAACATTCCTACCAGACCTAAATGGTCTGGTATCAATTGGCGGGGGGAACCTCCGGCTTTTTTTTTTTTCCTCTTCTGCAAACTAAAAAAAAAAAAATATATCATTTTGCTGCAACAAAATTTTGTCCAACAAACGAAATTTCGTCCAGATTACCGCTAACGAATTTTGTCCGAATCCTGAAACAAAAATTGAATTTCGGACCCGAATTCCGAAAAACTAAATAACGCAAATTCGGAATCGAAACAAATTTTTTGCAAGTGCACATGTCTACTGTTGAGGCTGCCAGTCCTCCCAATGCAGATTCCTGTGATAGAGTGGCAACTATGTTGAATTCAAAGCAGAGTTGCCTCTCTCATATAGGGTGTGACTGCTTGCACTGCAATTGGATGAAAAAAATGTTGCAAGGTGAGTGGCTTTCATTGCTAAAACCCTCCAACTGTGAGCTGCAGTGGCTGGTAGGGGGAGCATTTTAGATAAAAATGAAGGAAGATTAGGCTCAGTCAGGGAAGGTAAAGTGTTTTGTTTACTTTATTAGGCTTGTGCGCTACATAGTAACTGGATTTGATATTTGTGGAGCCTTTCATACAGGAGCCTTGTAGTTGGACTTTAACCCCTTCATGACTGAGGCCCTTTTTTCATTTTTTGCACCCATGTTATATTCCACATTTTAGGCCTGAAAATGACGTAAAACCCCCCAACATTATATATTTTCTGAATGCCAAGATTCTATAGAATAAAATGGTGGTAGTTGAAAATTTTTATGTTGCGCAATATTAGCGCAACTCCTTATTAAACCCCAAAATTTAGTGACAAATTTAGGAGTATTTAAGAGGCATGCTACACTATGGGTGAAGAAGTATACCCTTTCATACAGGCCCCGCTTCATTTGTTAATTATTCAGTTTACAGATTACTGAAGTGAATTTCATGTGTGCATGCCCGTTTGTATGCCCAATTAAAAGTCTTGAAAAATCAAATTACCAGAAAAGCCATCAAAAAGGCTGCAGATCCTCCTCTGCAGCCCCTGTACCACCCTTCATTTCTGGTACAAAAACCAAATTGATCAGATAAGGCAAAAATTAAAAAGAGACAACAACAAATTGAGTACAATGTATATTGTGGAGTGCTCTCTGTTATGCAATGAAGAACAAGCTGCTAATGTACGATTATGTCTTTTGGCCACTAGATGGAACTGTGGCGCAGTGTTGGTCTTTATGCTTATCTGTATATATGTTTTCCTTTCTACTATGCCTTCTTCCTGTATACATACATGTAACTTTCTTTTAAGCAAGTAAAACTCAATTCAGCATTCAAGATCTCAGTGCTTCATCTAAGCACATAACCAATACAAGCAACATGGAGTAAACGGTAGCAGTTGTTTGTATGTTCTTTAGGTGCCTTTCCACCTACCGGTTAATAACAACAATGGAAAAATATAATGTGATTAAACTTCACAGAAGTTCATTCAACTAGCATACTACCAAAAACAGTCATTGTCATGTCATTCTGAGAATCTTATCAGTAGCTCAGCTAGAACATAGCTGTTTTTCAGTATCAGATACAAACGGAAAAAAAAAAGTCCCTCTGTTTTCATGTATATCACATATATAACATCCTAAAATATCATTCCTTCAGTTATTGTAATGCATTCATCTTAAATAGTATATTTCTCTAATAATCAGAAAAAAGCCCAAACAAAACAAAATGGCCAAAATAAACCTTATTTTACAAACCACATACAAGTTAACATTGTAATCCAAGACTTCAGCATGTAATTCAAAAACATTTGGCCTCAATATAAAAAAAAACACACACACGATTCTAGCTCAGATGACCATATACAACTATAGAACTCAATCCTACTTTGAACCAACTGCTTTAGGTAGGCGCTTGGCCAAAAGTGCTAAAGACATTTAAAGCATCCCTGGGCCACTTCTTCTGCTCAGGTGTGTCCCAGTATAAGCAACAGCAGGTCTTGGCAAGAACATACAGATCATTCTCTGGGAGGTATATACCTCCCAGAGAAGGGCAAAAGCTTTGCTTGTCAGAATGACCAGGAACCCAGCCATAACAGGAGGTTTTAAGAGGCTGCTGCAGGTCTGTGGCGCCTGCATTTTATACCTATAATGGTGTCTTTTTTGTTTATTGTCATGACAGTCGCTTTAATCAGAAGCCATCACATCAAATGTAAAAGACACTGCAAGTGCTGCTGACTTTTCTGGGTTTTATTGGGGTATATGCAAACCCTAAATGAAAGGTCCTGATTAGGATCAATTCCTGGAGCTTCATGTTAAAGGGAACTTAGTAAAGCATCTACAGTACTATAGGTTGCATCATATTAAAAAGGACATAAATGTAGCACCGGTGTGCATTGACATTGCTGTTCTCATTCACTTGCACTACTTCTCTCATTAAGTCTCCTAAATGGGAAGAGTTAGGCCAATTGCAGCAAAGGACTGGCTGTGTGTCTACATAGAGTTCTTATGTCCAAATTGCTGACATTTAGACTATAAGTCGCTGCTCATTTTAGCCTTCGTGTGTCAAGAAACTAATCCAACTGATCTGTAGAAAGAAGCAAGTGTGGAGCTAGGAAAAAAAACAAAAACAAACTCATTTTTTCACCTCCTTCAGAAGAAAATTTTGGCTTGCTCTTAACACTTCTGTTCCCCACAACTGAAAGTTCAATTTCTTCATGAGGCATGTCAGCAATGGTCTCCATGAAAACTTTTTCCAGTTCTTGTGCCATTAACACAATATCATCCTTTGGCTGCAAGACACAATACAGACTGTTATTAAAACTGTTATTAAAAAACAACAAAATTTGATTTTTCGAAAGGAAAATGTACTATTTCTTTAATTTTCCTTTTATTTTTCCTTTGATGTTTTTTTCAGTCAAGCATGGAAACTGCTACTGAAGAACAGACTTAAGTTTTGCCAAGTGATCGCCCATTTTCCTCTCTGTAACAAAGCACAAGAGTTCATGCTGTGTTTGGGCAGTCCAGGCCTAATGGCACAACTCGAGGAGGCTTTAGTGAGAGACAGCTCGAAATGTCAAAATTGCAAATTATTAGCACAGATAAATCTTTTGTACTTTCCCTTAAATTTTTTTTACAGAAGTGAAAGTATATACTGGCAATAAAGAAACATGTCATACAAGAGGTTCTATAAATAATTAATAAAATAATGCTAACAAGCTTGATTGATTAATAGTAAATAAGTATTTCTGCCATTCTATTTCCTGGATAAAAATGCTGCTGCAGGTTCCCTTCAGTACTGCCCACCCAATAAAAAGCCTATGCATTTGATCAAGTGATCTCTGCTGAAAGGGAAGATTACAGTTCCTACTTATTTATATTACCGTTCAGCAAAGCTTATGTGATGAAAACAACAAGGCTTCTGCTTAGGTGAACAGTCCCGAACAACATCCTGGAGCTGGATTTTCACCCCTACCAGTCCGCTGGCTTATGTTGTTTGAGGAATAGACTATTGGGAATTAGCACTCTATGCTAGAGCTTAGAACATTCATATGCATGAGCACTATATGCTAGAGCTTAAAACATTCATATGCATCAGGGATCCCCAAGCTCTTTAGCTCATCAAACCCTTCGGGCCGGTTCGTACCACATAGTCTGCGTTCCAGAGCGTTCGGCGTCTGGAATGCAAGCCGGCTGGCTCCCTACATTCAGGGGCGTGGCGGTGCCTTGAAGTCAATTGCACCGCAGCCACGCCCCCCAAAGTGCGATCGCCCGCACCCGGAGCGCAGGCACATTAGACCCTTGGGGGCGGGGGCAATCTGGATCATCTTGATTTCCATCTCGATACACTTCACCATATTCAACTTCAGTGTAAGCGGATGTTTTGGAACAAATAATTTTATGTCTTGTTTACAACTAAATGACAACGTTAACTCTAGTGGGAAAAGGCTTTACTTTAACATTACCTTATTATAAATATAACAGTTGGTAAACATGGTGTTGATATCTTTCATGCACTCCATAGCATTTGTATAGTAATTGTACTCCAGCCTCTTCCTTACAGCACCCAAATCCATTGGATTCTTTATGATTTGATAATAATCCTAAGAGTCAAAAACAGACAAAGCAAAGATTAAATAACAGAAAAACACAATATGAACAAACTAGGTATACCAATTCAGATGAATAAGTTGTCTTTGATTACTAATCATGCACTGTGTACAAGACAAGGGAACTATATTACGACTACATATGATGACTACACTGAACAGGACACTGTTAAAGCTGAGCTCCCTGCAAACTACACAGATGATATGCATATATGGAAGCAGTATTACCTGCCAAAGCATTTTTATTCTATCCATCCATTCCAGTCCTGATATTTAGGGCCAATGTGTACCTGCTTTGAGGCCAAATGCAGTGTACATTCAACATCAGTTTTGAGCACATTTGAGCTTAATAAAATTTATTGTAGGTTCACTTTATTGCCATTACCCTCCTTTTAGCCTGTTTCAAGCTGCATTTTGCATTCTTATAAACTTGTATGGTAAGAGATGCAGTTCTGAAGTAAAAAAAACAAAAAAAACACAGTCGACACTGGCCCTTATAATCTCTGACAAACAGTTCAGGGCAAGGCAGGGGACCAGATTCTTCTCTTCTGCAATTAATTAACACTTACAGGTCTAGCCTCTCCCCAAGCCTGTGGCTGGAAAGTAAAAAGGAGGAGAAGCAGGACTGATGAGCTCATCTTTATGTCACTCTGCACTTTCCTTCTATCAGCATGTTTCACTGCTTGAATATAAGAAACACATTTACTAATTTACTAATAAATACAGAATTTGATTCATTTTGCCTTTATGTTTGTCTGAAGTTCTGCTTTAAGTATCCCTCTATCAGCCTCAAAGTTTGGAAGCAAAGCTAAAACAGGACCTGGGACACTTTTAAACTCTGAGCATCAAAGAACGGGTTCATCAATAAACAGTTGAAATAAAAGCCACGTAGATGTAAAATAATAGTAACAAGGATGCATAGGGGTTTAGTCAGTGCCACATCCTAGTATCAACGGATAAGAACGAACAGAAAAATGACTTTTTAGGCACTGCCATAACCTCTTCAATTTATATATAAAAATATATTGTATGGTGTACATAGTTTGTTAAGAATATATAACCAAGTTCAAATCATCAACATATATAGTCTTATTTACAAAACTGTAAACTTGTATCTTATCATGAACCTGCACCTCCTCAACTGGTATACAATAGTTAACCAAGTAATTTCTATGTGATATCATTAGTATGTAACCATGATAATTATGGATATTTTTCAATGGGGAGGTGCTCAACTCATGCTCTACGCGTATCGCGGTACCACTGCTCCTTTCAGGGGCTTATGGACTTACACTATAATATAGAGACACGCATTATGAGTAACAAGTAGATATTGATAACATTGATATGCCGAGTTTCAGCCAAGTTAGAATTTATACATACGTTGTTGTTCACAAATTTCTCTTACATCATGGCTCAAAAACAGATAGAAAACAAATATATATCACACAAGAGGCAGGAGCAATGCAACAAATCAACCAGGTGGGCGTCCAGGCACATTTGACCAGGATCATCCCGAATTCTATCACCCTAAGCTCAGTATACCGTGAGCTACAGCTCGCGGTATACTGAAATGCCGCAACTGAAACGGATTCCGACAATTATGTCTGGATCCGCCCAGCTGCGTGACAGCTGGCTCTGCCTATTTAGAGGCAGAGCCAGCTGTACCAGCCCCCTCCCCCATCCATTGCGCCAGTCAGCGCTGGAGGATTGGAGCGGGGAGGGGGGAATCCAGCCCCTCCCGTCAAGACTCTCTGCCGTGACAGGATCGAGAAGTGAGCGAACGCCGGTATGTGTTCGCTCAATTCCCGATCTACTGAGCCGACCTGTGACAGTTTCATTGTCACAGGTCGGCTAGAACTATGAGGAAAGCACTCACCTAATAGTTCTCCTTTAAAAGCACGCCGCCACTGGACTCTAGAGAAGTAGAAACGAGTTCTCTGGAGTGACGAATCACGCTTCTCTGTCTGATGGACATGTCTGGGTTTGGCGGTTGCCAGGAGAACGGTACTTGCCTGACTGCATTGTGCCAAGTGTAAAGTTTGGTGGAGGGGGGATTATAGTGTGGTGTTGTTTTTCAGGGGTTTGGGCTTGGCCCTTAGTTCCAGTGAAGGGGGTGGCCACTTCTTGAGTGAGTTTGGGGTAGAGGAACTTGACTGGCCTGCACAGAGTCCTGATCTCCACCCGATAGAACACCATTGGGATGAATTAGAGCGGAGACTGAGCCAGGCCTTCTCGTCCAACATTAGTACCTGACCTCACAAATGCGCTTCTGGAAGAATGGTCAAACATTCCCATAGACACACTCCTAAACCTTGTGGGCAGCGTTACCAGAAGAGTTGAAGCTGTTATAGCTGCAAAGGTTGGGCCAACTCAGTATTGAACCCTACGGACTAAGACTGGGATTCCATTAAAATTCATGTGCGTGTAAAGGCAGGCATCCCAATACTTTTGGCAATATAGTGTATGTTGTAAAGGAGCTTGTAATAAAGTATAAGAATATAGATGTAGAAATCTTGTTGCATCAGTCCTCCCACTTGCGTGATGATATAATTTTGTTTTCCATCTAATTTTGAGCCATGATGCAAGAGAAATTTGTGAACCACAACGTATGTATACAGTATATTCTAACTTGACTCAGCTGAAACTCAGCAGATCAAGGTGATCAATATCTACTTGTTAAGAGTTACTCATAATGCATGTCTTTATATTATAGTGTATGTCCAGTGTATGCTCCTGAAGAAGCAGTGGTACTGCCAAATGCATAGAGCAAGAGTTGAGCACCTCCCCATGGAAAAATATCCATAAATATCATGGTTACATACTAATGATATCACATAGAAATGACTTGGTTAACTATCTATTGTATAGCAGTTGAGGTGCAGCTTCATGATAGGAATACAAGTTTACAGTTTTGTAAATAAGACTATATATGTTGATGATTTTAACTTTGTTATATATTTTTAACAAACAATGTACACGATAATATATATATTTTTTTATATATAAAATTGAAGTGGTAAAGGTGGTGTTCAAAAAGTCTGTTTTTTCTGTTCTTTCTTATCCAAACATAAAATAATGTTGAATAATACTATGTAGTCTTTTATCAGGCTAGTCAATTAGCATGATTACTTTTCATCTGTACTGAAAGAAACTGGTGGTGAATGAATCAGCAGATCGGTGACTCATACCCATCAAACAGCTTAGTACCTGTTTGATGGGATGAACAGACACACAGCATTGCAAATCATGCAGCTCTGCTTTGCTGTCTCTATAGATCAGTGCTTCTCATCCCCTTTTTAATGAGCTACATGAGATCTACCAACGAAAAAAACCTCCCTCGCACTCCTTCTCTCTCGCTCTCCTAACTGTCTCTCCCCGCTCTCCTGGCTGTCTCTCTTTGCTCATCCTCCTGGCTGTCCCTCCTCGCTCTCTCTAAAGTCGCTGCTCTGCAATATTACAGAACACCGGGAAGCTAGACCTCGTACTTCTCCTCCTTTCGTGCTCAGCCCTCCATACTAAAGTCGCTGCTCTCATGCTGCCGGCCTCCGCCTTCATGTGTCAGACGCAGGAGACGTGGAGGAGACGGCTAAAAAGACCATAGGAGGCTTCTCGGGATAGTGAGCCGACTTACAATCATGATCTACCAGCATCAGCTTTGAGAACGGGCACCCCTGATGTAGACACAATTAGGCATAAAATCAAATCAACCACTGTTTAGAAAACCCCTAGAAACCTTAGAAACACTAGGACTCCATATACCCATGACGGACGAAGGCTGTTATAAATGCTTTAACAACCGTGCCATCCAGTCAGATATGCTAGAGGACCTTGTCATGATCCAGAATGTGCTATACATTATCATCATAACAGTTTGCTGAATGTAATAAAAAGGGACTGTTATGATCTGTTTTTCTTCAAATATGTGTTGCTTAATTGTTGACATGGACACCTTCCTAGATTTTCTATTTTTGCTGCATCCTCCTCCCTTACTTTGCCATTCAGTCAAATAGCAATCATGCATTATTTTCACGTTTAAGAATGTTTAATGCATTAGCATTTTTAACCTTTAAAATGTTCAAGGTTGTTCACAAAAGGGTGAAAGAGTTTGGAGATGTCAGGAGAAGTGAACAATCTAGGCCAAAATAGCCGATTTCCAGTTCAGTTATGTTGTCCTAGATTGTTTACTTCTCCAAACCCTTCATCCTTTTGTGAATAGCCCTGTTAATGTCTGGCCCACGAGCAAGAACCCAAGGTATTACCTCTCATTACTTTTAATAGCAAAAAAAAAAACCCTTCTATGCACCTCTCTCATTTAGTTTCACTTACGGCCTGTGCAATAGGAATGCTGTTACATAGGAAAATAGCAGTTTAGGGCTTACTCCAGAATTAAGACCCTAGTAGCGAAATTACACAATCCCAGACACCCATTGATCTTTAAATTAATCCCGATAACTGCCAATAATCCAAACTTGTATACAGTGGAGAGTTGAGCATCTATTAATAACTCTGTCCCCACCCCCACTGCCAGGTTCCTTCCAGATCAGTTAGCCTCCTCTATCCTCTAGGGCTGCTTGATGTTAGTCTAATAAAAATCTATAAAAATATTTTACTTGTGCCCAGAAAAAAAAAAAAAATCAAAGATACTTCCCATGTCCTGTTGATCATGCAAAGAAAAGTGTTTAATAAAAATTACACTCAGCTCGTCATATTGCATTGCCTATATGATGAACAGTGTAGATGGCTTTTCCTGCACCTGAAGATAAATTACACATTTATTCTACAATGCATCGCAAAATGTCAGTGGATGGTCACCATCATATGGAGCCCTACCAATTAACATGAAGAGGTCACCGTTCACCAAATGAACTGTGTGCTACACATTTATTACACTCAATTAAAAAAAAATAAGGTTCAGGACATTTAAACTACAAGTAAAGACTTGTAATTAAATACTTTAGCTGCTGCCTCTCTGAGACAGTGACCTTTGTGTC